TTAAAAAAACTAATAGAAGTTTGCTACATAGATAAATTTGAAATAATTTTTAAAATTTATAAATAAATTTAAAAAAAATTAAACTTTCTAAACTAAAATAAAAATAGAATAATAATGAGTAGATAAAAAGTTAAATTTATCCCTTTTTTTTCCTCGTGTAAAACGTATGCGCATATCTGATCTCGCCTATGGAAGGCTCTCGAACCCTTCAATTTCAAAAATGATATTAATTAGGTAACACCTTCAAATTTATTTTTTTAAAAAAATATATAGGAACACATTGACCCTTCAAAATAAGCAAAGATAAATTGTGTTTCTAAATTACAAATCAATATAAATTTTTTTTTTCAATGAAAAATGTTAAAATTTTATTTGTTATGTTAGCATTTTTTAACGAAAAATATTGAAAAAAAAATTGATTTGTATTGATTTATAATTTTAAAAAATAATTTTTTTTAATTTTTTTTTTAAAATAAATGTGTTTCTACCAATATTTTTTTTTTAAGATGGATTTGAGGTTATGCCCATTAATTAACCATGCCCTGGCTATGAATTTTACACAATTTCTTTATTTTGACCCAAAAGAACACTGCCTTTTCGAAACCTCTATAAATGCGCAGAGACTGAACCACATTTCTCCCATCTTGAGTAGAATTATAACCCTCTTCCATTCTTATCTCTACATGGACCGATCGGAAAAAATGGCTGATAAGGTGATTCTGTTGGATTTCTGGCCGAGCCCATTTGGGATGAGGGCGAGGATTGCGCTGGCAGAGAAAGGAATTAAGTATGAGTACAAGGAGGAGGATCTGAGGAACAAGAGCCCTCTGCTTCTGCAGATGAACCCAATTCACAAGAAGATCCCGGTGCTCGTTCATAATGGAAAACCCATATGTGAGTCGCTCATCCAAGTCCAGTACATTGACGAGGTGTGGAACGACAAGGCTCCGTTGCTTCCTTCTGATCCTTATGCCAGAGCACAAGCTAGGTTCTGGGCTGATTATGTTGATAAGAAGGTATGCATACTTGATTGATTTCTCCTTTTTTTTTTTTTTCTTTTTGTTACATAGGTCTATTATTCAATTCCACTTTCTGTTCTGTTTTATCCATTTGGGCATCTGGGGTTTTGGGTATGTTTAAGCAAGTTTCTTTTTTATTTATTTATTTATTTATTTTGAAAGTTGAGGTATAACCCAAATCTCATATTTATCAAATTTAACATGAGAAGTATATGTACGAGAGCTGAACAATGATCACAGGCACGTTCTCATTCAAGCAAGCTTTTTGAACTTTGTTTATGCTGTGATTATGATTATCACTAACTTTGTTAAAATTATAAAAAA